CACCTACACAGTATTCAGAGGAAACATTAAGAACAGTTTCCTCTGAATACTGTGTAGGTGCCTCAGTTTCCCCCTATGCATTTCTTAAGTCTCCAGGGTACATAAATGGCAGACACTGCATCCTGGCAACAAATGGCTGGGGCATTGCCCCCTGTAAGGGAATAGCTAAAGGTGAACAAAGAGATCAGGTGACCTCCTGGCCCGGGAAGGAGACAAAGGCCAGAAAGGAGGGGCTGGAGGGGGTTTTCAGGTTGGGGCTGGCTAGGGAAGGGAAGTGAGGGCAGACGGGGTTGTATGCCCCAGTTCCAAGGCTTTAAGCCCTGTGATCGCTGCAAGAAACCGATGCACATCAGCAATCTGCATCATAATTGCTCAAGGTGTCTGGGCGAGTCGCATATAAGCAACAAGTGCTGTATTTGCAAGTCCTTCAAACCTTGGACTAAGAAGAAGAGAGACTTCCGTCTCAATGCGCTCCTAATGGAGTCGGCTCTAACTCCGGCACCGGAGGAATCGAGGTCTGACTCTGCCCTGAGCACCGCAGCGTCGGTGCGGAGCACCCCACCGGTGCAGATCCCTCTCCCCGGCATCTGCCAAGCGGGAGGGAAGATCTCCTACATCTCGCAAGGGAAAGGAGAGGGCAGGAGGGGAGCCAAGACCCGAGAAAGGCGGCTCTATACCTCCTACTGGGAGCTGGGTGCTAGCTCAGGTCGAGCGGTCCAGCCTACCCCGACCTATGCCTGCCACACGGACAGTGACGAGGGCCTTCGTCAGAGGTCCCGTTGACACCCGAGGCCCTGCAGGCAGCACAGGATATCCGGGCACTATCAGTGCCGCCCACACCAGCTACGGCGTCACCCCGGTCTAGGGGTAAACCCGCCTTGGGTCCTTTCAATAGGTCTCCGGCTCAGCGGCACCGCTCCCCATTGCAGGGGATGGCCCGCCAGCGCTCACCTGCACGGAGCCACCAGGCCTCAAAAGCCGAGAGGCAGGCTCAGCGAAGCCCTCGTTGGTCTCTGACCTCAGGACACCGCCCACAAGGCTCAAGGTGCACCTCGCCGGTCCGCCCTTTTCGGCATCAACAGCACAGGGACTGGCTCACTGCTTCACACATGGCTCGGCACCAGTCATAGGCCCGGGACAGTCAGTCTCAGGACCAGAGTCACCAGTTGTAGGCTCGCCAGTCTGTGTCGCCACCACACAGATCCCCTAGATCGGGGAGAAGGTCTCCCTGGCGACTGAACTGCTCCCGGTCCCACTCTAGATCCCGGTACTGGTCAAGCAGCGTGAGGCGTAGATCACCGGAGCGCCGTCGCAGATCCGCTGAATGCCACCGGTCTCCAGGGATCACAGAAGAGATTCGTCCTGAGCAGAGAGCTCCCCGTCCAGGCACAGCGATCGGCACCGCAGTGACTGGGATCACCGATCTACTCGATCGTGGTCACCCGAGAGCAACCACTGAGCCTCAAGCTCCAGCACCGGAACTGAGTCATTGCTGGCGTTCCAAAACCTGGCACCGGTGACACAGGTGGTCCCCTCGATGTCAGCGGTACCGCCAACTACCCCATGGGCCCAGGGCCAGTGGCCAGCTGCCTGGTACCCATGGAACCCATGGGGCTTTACCCAGCCTTCACAGAGGCTCAGGTCAGTGGCAGGGGCCTCGTACAAGCCATCAGCCTTGGTATCCCGCCCTCCCACAGAGCCAGCTATTCCTGAGGTGGGGACCCCTCAGGCTCATGCAGACCCTGGGGATCAGCCGGCTGGACGTGTCAAACCCTGTGGCGCTGGCTTCCTCCTCATCTTTGCCTGATGAGTTGCCTCTAACTTGGGGCTCCAGGCGGAGGAGCTAGAGGAACCATCAGACTCCCTATTCAACGTCCTCTGCTCAACAGCTCCGGCCAGGGTGGCTCTGCCCCTCCATGAAGGGGTGTCTAAGATTACAAATGCCCTGTGGCAGACACCCTCATCCCTGCCCCCCCATCCACAAGAGGGCAGAAAGAAAGTACTTTGTACGGGCTAAGGGCCATGAGTACCTATATATCCACCCGGCCTCAAGCTCCCTGGTAGTAGCAGCTGTGAATGAGCGGAAGAGACAAGGCCAACCGGGAGCCACTCTTAAGAATAAAGACTCAAAGAGGCTGGATTTGTTTAGACTCAAAGTTTATTCATCCTCCAGTTGAGGGTGGCCAACCACCAAGCCCTCCTTGGCCGCTATGACTTCAATATGTGGCAAGCCACGTTTGGAAACGCCACAGAGAGCAAGGAATGTGGCCTTTTGTATCCTGTTCAGCATCCCAAACCTGTGGTACGATAGAATTCCTTCAGTCAGTGCTCCTGTCTCGGGCCCAGAAGTATCACACCACCGTTTGCAGTTGTCCTGTGAAAGCAATGACCGTAATTGTTTTTCACACTCTCTCTTAGCCACGGTCCTTAAAGAAACCCTCAGGTCCCCCATTGTGATACTTCCCATGGGTCTGCAAATACAGGAGAATCATGCCTCCTGTATTGACAACAGCACAGTGCAAAAATGCTGGGCTATGGATGGCATTATGGGATGGAGAAAATTGACGGCTAGGAACTTGAACTCTAGCTCCCAGAGATCCCTGAGTGAGTCATTTCCATCCCACAACATATTGTGAACGTTTCCTGAAAGGCATCGTGCCGGACTGCAGCCCATGGCACACTGAGATACCTACCCATGGTGCACCACACTTTGCATTGCCACAAGCACTCCTGGTGAGTACATCCAGTGCCAACACAAGCAGCTAAGTGTGACGTGCCCAAGTAATATACCGACTTCAGCAGCTGTACGCCGACATGACTGTTGAGCAGTTTGTAGCGTAGACATGGCCTTAGTGTGCCCAGCCCAAAGTGTTGTGGAAATTCTTCCAGGGTGTCTCCATGCTGTGGCCTGTAGGGGGCAGAAGGAAGGCTGGGGGCTGGAGGGGGGCTGGGGATCACCCACTCAGTGTCACAGTTCACCCTTGACACCGCTCAACCTCTCTGAACAGAGCCCCTCCAGTTGTCAGTTCTGAGCCTTCCCCTTTCCAGGCTGGAATCCTGTGATTCTTTCACCCCGTAGACCCCGTTGGCAGGGGGACAGCCCCCTTTACCAACTGCGATTGCTCAGCAGGCCACACTGGATTCTGCTGCCCTGCAAGTCTTCCAGGTGGGAGCCAAAACAGCCTTTCCAAAGCACAGGATCCTTTTAATCTGCGTAGTAGAACTCAAAGCCTCGCCAGCGCACAGGGTAGTGTCTGCATGTGTCTGCGGCCCCCCTGATTGGGGTCTGCCTCTGTCCCCAGCTCCTGGACACCTGGGAGGCCTTCGTGTACCAGCAGCAGGAGGCCTCGGACTTCATTGTCTCACGGCGCCTCAGCATCATTGCTGAGCTGGTAGACTCGCTGCAGAGAGCCAGACAGGAGCTGCAGGAGTTGCTGACCACGGCCACCACAGGGCAGTTCCTGGACCCCTCCCAGAGCCCGCGTGCAATGGAGCAAGAGCTGCGAGAGCTGTACCGCCGCTTCCAGGCCATGGCCACCCGGGTGGCTGAGCTGTGCCGCTCCCAGAGGATCCTCACAGGCATGAGAGCAACGGGGCCCCGGCCTGCATCTGCTGGGGAGACAGAACCCCAGGGCTCCCTACTTGTCCCTGTTACTTCCCTCGCATCCCCAGGGAAATGCCCCCGTGACTCCCCTCACCTCCCTGTGTCCCAGGGACTTTGCACTCAGGTCTCCTCCAACCTAGGAGAGAGAGAGCCTGCAATCAGTAGCGTAGCTAGTGGGGTGCAGGGGAAGCAGCCGCTTCCCCTCAGCATGCTTTCAAAAAGCGGCACGCCTGCCGGCCGGCGCTGACCTCCTGCAAGCAAGGGGGGGCAGCACGGCCAGAGGAGCCATGGGGAGGGGGCAGCATAACCGGAGGAGCGAGGGGGGGCACAGCAGGGCGGCTCGCAGCTGCAGCCGGCCGCCACAGCCAGAGGAGCAAGGGGGGGCACAGCAGGGCGGCCAGCAGCCATGGCCGGAGGAGTGAAGGGGGGCACAGCTGGGCGGCCAGCAGCCATAACCAGAGGAGCGAGGGGGGGCACAGCAGGGTGGCCCGCAGCCACGGCCAGAGGAGCGAGGGGGGGCGCAGCAGGTTGGCCAGCAGCCGCGGCCGGAGGAGCGAAGGGGGGTGCAGCAGGTTGGCCAGCAGCCATAGCCAGAGGAGCGAGGGGGGGCATAGCTGGGCGGCCAGCAGCCGCGGCCGGAGGAGCGAGGGGGGGGCGCAGCAGGGTGGCCCGCAGCCAATGGGCCGGGGCAGCGGGTGTGGTTGGAGGAGGCAGAGCGAGGGGGGGTGCAGCAAGGCGGCCCGCAGCCGTGGCCGGAGGAGCAAAGGGGGACGCAGTATGGCGGCCAGCAGCCAATGGGGGGGGGGCGGCACAGCCGGAGGAGCCAGCCAAGGGAGGCATGGCCAAAGGAGGAGCCAAGGGGGGGGCGCCTTTTTTATGTTTGCTCCCCATGCTCTTAGATCCTGGCTACACCACTGCCTGCAATGTGAACAGCAGCGGGAGTGCTGGGTCATCCTGTGCTGCTGCCTGGCTGGGGTGTGGGCGAGACTCCTCCCGAGTGAACGTCCTGTCCTTCCTCTTCCCAGGGGAGCAGACAGACGTCTCCTTCGTAGCCAGGAGCCGGGGGCTCATTGAAGCCCATGAGCACGTCTGGAGGCTGCTACGCACCATCTCCGAGCAGATCACTGAATGGAGGTGCCTCGCCTTCAGCAAGGTAATGACCGGCGCCTGCCCCACAGCTAGCGCAGCCCTGGGCTCCCTCCCGACCCAAAGCCCCTGCTAGCCCGGCCTGTGCCCCTCCCTCCCAACCCGCAGCCCCTGCTAGCGCAGTCCTGCCCCCCCC